ACCCTTTCCCCCCTCAGGCCTTTCCCCCCCCTGAGAGCTTCTCCCTTTTCCTTCCTTAGATCTTTCCCCCCTTTCCCTGTTGGCCTTTTTCTCTCAGATCTTCTCCCTTTCCTCCCTAAGATCTTTTCCACCCCTTTCCCTGTTGAGATCATTTCTCCCCCTTCCCCTCTACGGCCTTTGCCCCCAGATCTTCTCCCTTTCCTCCCTAAGATCTTTCCCCCCCTTTCCCTGCTCAGATCCTTTCCCCCCTTTCCCCCCTAAGGCCTTTCCCCCCCTGAGATCTTCTCCCTTTTCCTCCCTAAGATCTGTTCCCCCCTTTCCTTGTTGAGATCCTTTCCCGCCCTTTCCCCCCTAAGGCGTTTTCCCCCCCCCCCCCAAGATCTTCTCCCTTTTCCTTTCTAAGATCCTTTGCCCCCTTTCCCTGTTGAGGTCCTTTCCCCTCTTTCCCCCCTAAGGCATTTCCACCCCTGAGATCTTCTCCCTTGTCCTCCCCAAGATCTTTTCTCTTGGTTGAGATCCTTCCCCCCTTTCCCCCCAAGATCTTCTCCCTTTTCCTCTTTAGGATCCTCTCCCACCTTTCCCTGTTGAGCTCCTTTCCCCCTTTTCCCCCTAAGGCCCTTTCAGATCTTCTCCCTTTTCCTCCCGAAGATCCTTTGCCCCCTTTCCCTTTCCCCCCTAAGGCCTTTTCCTTGCCTGGGATCTTCTCCCTTTCCTCACTGAGATCTTTCCCCCCCTTTCCCTGTTGAGATCCTTTCCCTCCTTTCCTTCCTAAGGCCTTTCCCCCCGCTGAGATCTTCTCCCTACTCCTCCTTAAGATCCTTTGCCTCCTTTCCCCGTTGAGATCCTTTCCCTTCTTCCCTTTAAGGCCTTTCCAGATCTTTTCCCCTTTCCTTCCTAAGATTGTTTCCCCCCTTTCCCTGTTGAGATCCTTCCCACCCTTTCCCGCCTAAGGCCTTTCCCCCCTGAGAGCTTCTCCCTTTTCCTTCCTTAGATCTTTCCCCCCTTTCCCTGTTGGCCTTTTTTCCCCCAGATCTTCTCCCTTTCCTCCCTAAGATCTTTTCCACCCCTTCCCTGTTGAGATCATTTCTCCCCTAAGGCCTTTGTCCCCAGATCTTCTCTCTTTCCTCCCTAAGATCTTTCCCCCCCCTTTCCCTGCTGAGATCCCTTTCCCCCTTTCCCCGCTAAGGCCTTTCCCCCCGCTGAGAGCTTCTCCCTTTTCCTTCCGAAGATCTTTTCCCCCCTTTCCCTGTTAGGCTTTCCCCCCTAAGTCCTTTTCTCCCAGATCGTCTCCCTTTCCTCCCTAAGATCTTCCCCCCCCTTTCCTCCTTAAGATCTTTCCCACCCTTTTCCTGTTGAGATCCTTTCCCCCCTTTCCCTCCCAAGGCCTTTCCCCCCCCTGAGAGCTTCTCCCTTTTCCTTCCCAAGATCTTTTCCCCCCTTTCCCTGTTGGGCTTTCCCCCCTAAGTCCTTTTCTCCCAGATCTTCTCCCTTTCCTCCCTAAGATCTTCCCCCCCCCTTTCCTTCCTAAGATTGTTTCCCCCTTTCCCTGTTGAGATCCTTCCCACCCTTTCCCCCTGAGGCCTTTCCCCCCTGAGAGCTTCTTCTTCCTTAGATCTTTCCCCCCCTGTCCCTGTTGGCCTTTTTTCCCCCAGATCTTCTCCCTTTCCTCCCTAAGATCTTTTCCACCCCCTTTCCCTGTTGAGATCATTTCTCCCTTTCCCCCCTAAGGCCTTTGCCCCCAGATCTTCTCCCTTTCCTCCCTAAGATCTTTCCCCCCCTTTCCCTGCTCAGATCCTTACCCCCCTTTCCCTAAGGCCTTTCCCCCCCTGAGGTCTTCTCCCTTTTCCTCCCTAAGATATTTTGCAATTTTTCCCTGTTGAGGTCCATTCCACCTTTCCCCCCTAAGGCCCTTTCTCCCTCTGAGTTTTTCCCTTTTCCTCCCTACGATGTTTTCCCCCCTCTCCCTGTTGAGATCCTTTCCCTCCTTTCCCCCCAAAAGCCTTTTTTCCCCCCGCGATCTTCCCCCTTTTCCTTCCTAAGATCTTTTCCCCCCTTTCCTTGTTGAGATCCTTTCCCGCCCTTTCCCCCCTAAGGCGTTTTCCCCCCCCCCCCCCAAGATCTTCTCCCTTTTCCTCCCTAAGATCATTTGCCCCCTTTCCCTGTTGAGATCCTTTCCCCCCTTTCCCCCCTAAGGCCTTTCCCCCCCTGAGATCTTCTCCCTTGTCCTCCCCAAGATCTTTTCCCTCGGTTGAGATCCTTTCCCCCTTTCCCCCCAAGATCTTCTTCCTTTTCCTCCCTAGGATCTTCTCCCACCTTTCCCTGTTGAGCTCCTTTCCCCCTTTTCCCCCTAAGGCCTTTTCAGATCTTCTCCCTTTTCCTCCCTAAGATCCTTTGCCCCCTTTCCCTGTTGAGATCATTTCTCCCCTTTCCCCCCTACGGCCTTTGCCCCCAGATCTTCTCCTCCCTAAGATCTTTCCCCCCCCCTTCCCTGCTCAGATCCTGTCCCCCCTTTCCCCCCTAAGGCCTTTCCCCCCCTGACCCTGACAGACATCTTCTCCCTTTTTCCTCCTAAGATCTTTTATGCTTTGCCACCCTTCCCTTTGAATTCCATTTCCCATTCCCCTTTCCCCCGAAGGCCCTTTCCCCCTCAATTTTTCCCTGTTCCTTCCTACGATATTTCCACCCCTCTCACCTTTATGAGACCTTATCCCCCCTGTCCCCCCTAAAGCCTTTTTTCCCCCCGCGATCTCCCCCCCCAAGATCTTCTCCCTTTTCCTTTCTAAGATCCTTTGCCCCCTTTCCCTGTTGAGGTCCTTTCCCCTCTTTCCCCCCTAAGGCCTTTCCACCCCGAGATCTTCTCCCTTGTCCTCCCCAAGATCTTTTCCCTTGGTTGAGATCCTTTCCCCCTTTCCCCCCAAGATCTTCTCCCTTTTCCTCCCTAGGATCCTCTCCCACCTTTCCCTGTGTTGAGCTCCTTTCCCCCTCTTCCCCCTAAGGCCTTTTCAGATCTTCTCCCTTTTCCTCCCGAAGATCCTTTGCCCCCTTTCCCTGTTGAGATCCTTTCCCCCTTTCCCCCCTAAGGCCTTTTCCCTGCCTGGGATCTTCTCCCTTTCCTCACTGAGATCTTTCCCCCCCTTTCCCTGTTGAGATCCTTTCCCTCCTTTCCTTCCTAAGGCCTTTCCCCCCGCTGAGATCTTCTCCCTATTCCTCCTTAAGATCCTTTGCCTCCTTTCCCCGTTGAGATCCTTTCCCTTCTTCCCTTTAAGGCCTTTCCAGATCTTTTCCCTTTTCCTTCCTAAGATTGTTTCCCCCCTTTCCCTGTTGAGATCCTTCCCACCCTTTCCCGCCTAAGGCCTTTCCCCCCTGAGAGCTTCTCCCTTTTCCTTCCTTAGATCTTTCCCCCCTTTCCCTGTTGGCCTTTTTTCCCCCAGATCTTCTCCCTTTCCTCCCTAAGATCTTTTCCACCCCTTCCCTGTTGAGATCATTTCTCCCCTTTCCCCTCTAAGGCCTTTGTCCCCAGATCTTCTCCCTTTCCTCCCTAAGATCTTTCCCCCCCCCTTTCCCTGCTGAGATCCCTTTCCCCCTTTCCCCCCTAAGGCCTTTCCCCCCCCTGAGAGCTTCTCCCTTTTCCTTCCGAAGATCTTTTCCCCCCTTTCCCTGTTAGGCGTTCCCCCCTAAGTCCTTTTCTCCCAGATCGTGTCCCTTTCCTCCCTAGGATCTTCCCCCCCCTTTCCTCCTTAAGATCTTTCCCACCCTTTCCCTGTTGAGATCCTTTCCCCCCTTTCCCTCCCAGGCATTTCCCCCCCCCCTGAGTTGCGCAAGCCCGCGCAATGAACAGATTTAGTGAAGCGTCTTCGAATCACCGCGTGGTACGTGGACCCCCCCGCCCCCCCCCCCCAATAGTCTGCCCCTGGGGAGGGGTTAGGGGAGGGGTAACAGGTAAAGAGGTAAGGAGCATTTTTTGTGTCCAACACGCCGTCTGTTGTCGGCGGATACACATATTTGCGGCTCCCCGACTTTCGCCTCTTTAGTTTTGTTCGCCCCGCAGGGCCTCAAAGGCTCCGCGCCTCGGCTCGGCGAGGCGGGCGGTCAAAGATGTTTCGCCTCAACGCCGTTTTTCCGGCGACTCCGACGACGGCGTTCGATGCTGGATCGACGGCCTCGGAGTCGTGTTTGCGGATCTCGGAGGTTTTCGGACCAAGAGTGGAATCTCAAGATATTGACTTTGTAGAGACTCGCCATGGCAATGAGGATTTCATTTCGACAGTTGAACGGTGAGGTAACGGTTTGTGAAGTTGTGCCAGATATCACCGGTCGGGAACTCAAGGAGCGCATCAAGGAGTGCCAGGTTTGGGATGATGTCACACGCGAAACAACCCGTGTCGACATTCTTGTGGGGACAAGATTGATGACGAACGACGAGACGGCTGCAGATGCAGGCCTTTCGCCAGAGTCAGAGGTGACCGTAGTATTGAAACAAAACGCTGCGACCTGCTCCACAAGGGGAGCTTGACGAATTTGGCGAGGAGATTGACTTGGAGACCGCATTTGTGGTTCAAATCCCAAGCGGTGCTACTGAAATTGTTCGAAAAGCATTTAAAGACTGCAACACTCTGGCACGTGTGACCATTCCGGACTCAGTGACCCAGATTGGCGCTGGTGCCTTTTCAGGATGCAGCTCCTTGGCTAGTGTGACCATCCCAGACTCAGTGACCCAGATTTGCGATGGTGCCTTTAAAGACTGCAGCTCCTTGGCTAGTGTGACCATCCCCGACTCAGTGACCTGGATTGGCGATGGTGCCTTTCAAAGCTGCAGCTCCTTGGCTAGTGTGACCATCCCAGACTCAGTGACCCAGATTGGCGATGGTGCCTTTAAAGACTGCAGCTCCTTGGCTAGTGTGACCATCCCAGCTCAGTGACCCAGATTTGCGATTGTGCCTTTAAAGACTGCAGCTCCTTGGCTAGTGTGACCATCCCCGACTCAGTGACCTGGATTGGCGATGGTGCCTTTCAAAGCTGCAGCTCCTTGGCTAGTGTGACCATCCCAGACTCAGTGACCCAGATTGGCGATGGTGCCTTTTCAAAATGCAGCTCCTTGGCTAGTGTGACCATCCCCGACTCAGTGACCCAGATTGGCGATGGTGCCTTTCAAAGCTGCAGCTCCTTGGCTAGTGTGACCATCCCCGGCTCAGTGACCCAGATTTGCGATTGTGCCTTTAAAGACTGCAGCTCCTTGGCTAGTGTGACCATCCCCGACTCAGTGACCTGGATTGGCGATGGTGCCTTTCAAAGCTGCAGCTCCTTGGCTAGTGTGACCATCCCAGACTCAGTGACCCACATTGCGAAAAATGCCTTTGAAAACTGCAACTCCTTAGCTTGTGTGACTGTCCCTGATTGCGTGATTGAGGAGGATGCCTTCGCAGGATGCAGTGCTTTGACTTTGGTCGTTCCCATATTTGGGCGAAGGTTGAGGGTTGCCGCCCTGACGGGCTGCAAGCAGATTCAAGCAAAAGAATGTGCATGTCAAGAGTGCGAGTACAAGTGGTTTCTGAATGGCTGGGTGTGTCCTCGACGGTGGGGAACTTGACCTTTCTCGAGAAGCTTTTTGTGCACGTTGTATAACTGAATGATGGTCGCACACGGAATCATCTCAACCGCACTGCTTGCGAAAAGGCGGCTGGCTTGCTGCTGGCTCCACAAAGGCATGCCCGGTGACGCTTGTATAGCACGTTCAACATTCTGGGATGCATCCCGCAGGGTCAAATTTTAATCGGATATGATTTGCAGGACTGATTTGGTCCTCGACCCGGATGGCGCTGTATTTCATTGCTCGTGTTCCCCATCTCGTGTGGTCATTTTCCCACGTCCTCTGGGGGGAGAAGGCCTTCTGTCCCGGGGCGAATTGTTCACCTTGAATCGGTTCGGGGTGTCAAACAAGGGATGGAACAAAGGGGTGGTCCATCCTTCGGCCTCCTAGGGAAGGTTCCAATCGTGCGCTGAGCGCCCAGCTCTGTCCGTTTCGTTCGCAGGCCAAATCTCCAAGTCGGCCCTGCACTCTTCTTGGGCAAGGCCTGGCGGGACGAACTGTTGCACTAGGTCCCCAGCTAGGTGCCCTTCTCTCCCAACTTTTTTGGTTGGGAGGGTTCCCCTACTAAAATAGACTACAGAAAAAGGGTGCCCTTATTCTAACCTCTCTACTGGAGGACGTGGTGGGTGAATAAAGGACACATGGATGGAAAATGAGCCACAGGCTCCCCGGGTAGATGAAAGTTAGTAAGGGGCAATCCCCTTGCCATGAATGGCTGCGGCCGCCTACCTTCTTGTTTCTTTTACGTGGTTCTGGGATTACGACCCGGGTTTTGATTATGACTCAACTGACTTTCGAAGAGCAACATTTTTCTTCGGCTTTTAAAGGGGCAAAGAGAGCACCGCCGGTGTTTGCTGTTTCCGCTGTCTTTGTATTGCCAATTTTCGACAATTTAGTATTGCCAAGACTCGCTCTCAGATTCCCTGTGCCTCATTTACTCTTGCCAATTCCAGATTTAGCAAAACAAGATTGACATGAAAGCAAACGAACCACGCAACCGCCAGATGGAGCAGATTCAGGGCCTTTGGTGAGCGACGCCCTTTGCGCCAACTGTTTGGCCTTACGGCTTGTAGATAAAAGAAGGTGTCCGAAATCCGAAGAAAGAAAAAGCTGCTTTGCTATGCAAAATCATGACTTGGATCCAAGGCCTCTAGGCCTTTGAGCCGTTTTTGCGGGATTTTTTTCGGCGTTTTTTCCTCGGGTCTTTGCCCAAAAGGCTTGGAGAGAGCACCTGACCCGGGTTGGTTTTGGGACGGACGGGGCGGGCGTGGGCCTTGGACGCGGTGAGGCGTTGCTTCGGATTGGCAGATTGCTCCAAGATGCGTGCGGTTTTGTCCATTTTGTTTGCGACAGGCGATGATCAAAGGGGCATGTTCGGAAGTCTGGGGAATCAATCAACATGGGAAAAAGGAAGCAGCTTACAAAAGCTTATCTCAGGGCTACAACTTGCTGGAGCTCAGTAGGGAGTGACCCGGTTTGGGCATGAACCGATTGGGATTCCCTGAAAGCATAGGATGGATGGTGTTTTTCTTTTCATTCCATTCATTTCTCATTCCCTGCCCATCGAACCAAGGGAAGTGTTGAGCCGAGTTGCCAGATCTGTTCCAGGGGTCTTGTTGTTGAGAAAGTTGGCGATCTGCCCCCTCAAAAAGCAATCCTTCACAGGGTGGATCCATTTTCCCCTTTGTTCACCTCGCCGCGTTCGGCTTTTGAGTTTGTGGCGAGGCCACCTCGAACTCCCGTGGCTCCATGGCACCAGGCCGCCTGCAAGACTTTTGCCCCTCAAGGCGTCGGGTTTTTTGACGGTTCCGTTCGAGGTGTGTACCGGTGGCTTTCTGTTCCTTTCCCATGTGTTTTGTTTGTTTTTTCCTGGCCATCCCTGATCCTTCGTGCCGTTTCCCCGAATTGGGTAGATTTTTGGAAAGGATCCGTAGGGCAGCCATGAGCTAGGATGGTTCCGGGCTTACATCTCCTTATGGGTATCCTGCTTTGGGTGGTTTGTAGCGTCAACCAGGTTTGGGGGTGTTCTGTTTGTTTTGTGTTTCAGCTTCTTTCTCCTTTTCGTGCTCTCGCTCTTGCACGTTATTTTTCTCGTGTCCTTTCTCCTTCTCTTGCTTTCGGTCTTGCTCTTGCTTTCTCTCCTTCCCTTTCTCTTTAGCAGGCGCGAGTTTTTTTCAAGAATTCCAAGGAACAAGACGGATGGCGCGAGTGAGCGTGGATCCTGGGCACCCAAAGAGTTGCCCGGGAACAGAGCTGGAAGCTCATTTGACTTGGCAGTGCTGGCTCTTTTTTGTGTGTTTTGGTTTCTCTTTAGGCTCCCTCTTGATCTTAGGTTGCTTTGGGTTTATTTTGTCCCCTTCTGGTTGATGCGTGCTTGTATTTCAAGAGTTCCAAACACAGCCAAGAGGGTTGGTTGCGCAAACAACCAAGCCCTGGTTCCTTGAAAAGTGAAGGCAAAATCATTTTGTTCCAAGGGGGGGCAAAGAGGCCCAACAGCGCTGGTCCGACTGGCATAGAGACCAACTTTGGACTGGACGGACTTGGGACGGGCTGCTCATTTGTTGATTCTGTTGTAGGTCATTGCTGTGTTGCTGGCCTGAGCCCTGATTGTTCCAGGCGCCCCAGGGGGTTGATTTCCCAATCATTACAGTTATGATGTTCATTCTGTAGAATGGGCAGCAAGGAAACCCCAGACAATCCCAGGCGGGTTGGTTTCGGGAGTTCTTTAACTTCGCACGCACGGCGCCTTTTTTTGAGCGGGCAAAATGTGCGGGGTAGGATGCGTACGGCAGATGCACGGGGTCCCTTGACAGCAGCACGTCGTTCCGAGGTTGGTTGTTTTGCTGTTGTCGTTCTTGGTGTTTCTCAAGGGGCACAGCTTTGCTGTTGTATTTCTGGGTTTGGTTGTTTGCTTGCCGTTTGTTCTGCATTGTTCGAGGGACCCAGCCTCCAACCAAGATGTTGAGCTGCTCCTATCTCCCTGATCCCTCCGTCTTTTGGGCTGGCCGGCGCGATTTGGGTGTGTCTGTTTTCCTAGCGTTTGATTCCTTTCCATGTTTTTCGACCATCCAAAACAACAAACCAGCCGTTTCCCGCAGATGGGCCAAGAAGGATTTCTGGGAATGGCGAACCTACACCAGGTACGATTTTGGGAACTCCTTGTGGCGTTGTATTGCGCAACCAAAAAACACCGAACGGCAAGCCCGCTTTGTGGTCTGGCTGGCATGTTGACCTTTGCTCCCCTGTCGTCAATCCATTTGTCTATGTTCTTTGGCCAGGACCCCAACGGCAGTTTGACGCAGCGTGATTTTCCGCTTGGCGGCTGACGCGTATTTCTTGGAGAGCATGACTGCCCGACCAACAAACAATTCAACCATGCCAGGCGGCCGCAGGGCGGCCGCATTGCGGCTCTTGTCTCTGCAAGGCTGGCTGACAGGGGGAATGTGCGTCTTGTTGGTTTTCACAGCCTGAGAGGAATCGGACACCAAGAAAACCTGCTGGGCCATGCTGCTTTTGCAACATTACCCCAAGAAAGCCCCCACCTTACGGCTTCTCCAAAGAGCAGTGCTTGCGGTTGGCTCCTATTTCCGGGTGCTGGGGGTTCCCATTTCTACGCTTCGGTGAAGTTCACGGCATACAAATCTTCTAAGCCCGAACAGCCGGGCAACGGAGATCCGCGCGATGGCGATGGCGCAAAGGCCGTGCAGGCGCGGTTTCTCTCGCGTCTCGCGCGCGGGTTCGGAGCGGGTCGATGAGATGAGCGCTTTCCATGGGTCGTTTGTTGAGGCGTGCCTTGTTCGGGGTAAAAAGAGAAACCAAAGGGAAGCCATCCATTTGCGGGCTAGAGTGAGCAACAACCAGTTAATTTGCACATGGCTTGCCTCAGTTGTTTCAACTGTATTGCTTGGGCATGCTAGCTGCTTGTTCCTCACTCTACTTTGGTCCATTCCCATTTTGATTGCACTCGCTGATATGTCAAGGAGATTCAAGCGGCAGGGGGATCGATACCGTGGGACAGCCCCAAAAAGATCTCCGAAGCAACCTGGAGCCCCAAAACCCGAAGCTTCGTTTGGGGGCTTTGTGCTTCTGATCTGCAGCCTGCGTTTGCCAACGGTCAATAAGACCCTGAGCACCTTTCCAGTCCCACATGATTCACATGATCCAAGATAAAGACTAGGTCCACTAGCTAGGTGCCCTTTCTCACCCCCTTTTTCGGGAGGGTTCCCCTACTACAATAGTCTACAGAAAAAGTTGGGTACTCTGATTCAAGCCTCTCTACTGGAGCCCCCAGTAAAGAGTTGGGAAGGAAGAGGAAAGAGGTGGCTCTCATTCTCAAGCCACTTTGGCATTGCTTTGGTGCATTTCGCCCAGGGATGTTAGGACTTCAACTTGATCCAACTCATGGGGGTTTCCGTATTCCGGCCCTAAACAGTAAAGAAACTTTTAGCAGGGCACAGATTTCGCCGAGATGGGTTTGATGGAGTCTGACCCCTCTCCCCCAGCCTCGCCCTGGTTCGATACACCAATTGACACGTTGTTGTTTGTTTTCCCTCTCAGCTTAGCAAACGGTAATGCCCGGGCCCAAGCACCTAAGGTACTTAGACCCCTTTCCCCCCCCCCCCCCGCCCCTCACAAAGTATTAAGGGACCCTCTGGGATGGCAGGAAGAGCTGGCGTGAGGAAGCTAATGGACTGCCGGACCGTTCTTCTGCTCCTTTCCCAATCAAAAGCAAACAATGAGCCCAGAGCCCCATCGCTTTAGCTCGAACAGGCACGCGGCAATATTTTCACGATAGTCTTAGGCTTGATTCACCATTCGCCCATCCTTTTTTTTGGAAACCCACTTGTCCCTGATGATCACTGAGACTGGGGAAGGCGGAGCACCATTCTCTTCACCCATCGAGGAGCTGGATATAAGGAAAATCAAGCATCACCGGGATTCAAAAAAAATCATCTGGCTGGTCAAAAAAAGGGTAACCCCAAAATGGGTTTCCCCTGGAAAATGGAACCAAGGACTAAAGCCAGCGGTCCAATTCCTGGTGCTTTAAGTTTGACCCATCATCTCTCGCAGGCCGTCCTTTCGAGCCGACCCGCGCCGCCCTCTCGGAGACGCGTCAACGGGCGTTTCGGGCGCCGCGCCGTGTTGCCGTGTTGGGCCACGAAGGCTCTGAGCGCTTTCGGCCTTGTGGACGTTTGGGGGTTGATCCACCTTCCGTTTGGCCAGTTCATCCAATTCATCTGCTCGGAACTCGCATGCGTTTCGTGGTTTTACAGCCAATGGGTCAGCCCATATTCATTGGACCTTTTGATCAACCCCCAAGTAGTTGTTGTTTTTTCTTTCGGTTTTAGGTGGTAGTTTTCCGGGATTTTCACCCATGACCCGTCTTGGTATCACAGATTTCGGGTGGTTTGCCAACTCTTGGGCACAACCTTGGGGCGGGGCGGGCAGTGGGGCGGGGCGGGCAGTGGGGTTGGGGGGGTGGGGTGGGTGCTGGCTCATGAAATGGCCAAACCGCAGGGGGAATTCGTGGGTCCTTTTTCTTTGCCCTTTCCAGATTTGGGTTTGTCTCAAAGGGGCTCGAGCTTCCAAATGGCCGGCTTCGCGTTTCCGGAAGTCAAACTGGCCCAAATGTTTGGGGGGAACCCAGAACATAACAGACCCACCTTTGTGACGTCTTTGGGCCAGCCAAAAACGCAACCTGTGCGGGAGCAGGGCCTGTGCAGGCACGCCTTCAGCCTCTGCAAGGTATCGCTGAGTTCAGGAAGCAGGGTTCTACTTTTTGCTGCTGGGGTAGACTTAAACCCAGGGTGGTTCATTTCCCAAACAGGAGAACCCCTGGGTTTAAGTCTATCTTAGGGGTAGTCAAAAAGTGGAACTCTGTTTGGAAGCACGTGCAAACAGTTGATGTTGGCGCTCCTTTTGAACCAGACCCAACCAACCTGTTGGTTTTCCCAAAGTTTCGGTTGAAATGGTCGGGGAAGTTCCGCGTTTGTGTCAAGCAGGCCCCCCTCCCCTCCCTCCCCCCCCAAAAAAAAACAAAAACACACATGGCAGGCGCCTTTCTAATTTTCCCCGCAAACCAACGAACAACACAACATCACCCCTCAAGCAAGGCAAACAAAAGGGAAACAAACCAATGGCAGGCTCAAACAACCCACCCCCAACTCAAAACGAAGCCCCTCGACTCGCGGCTTCGAAGCTTCCCGAGGTCCGCTCGAGCTTCGGCCGCGCCGAAGACCTGCGCCTTCGGCGTGGACACGGCGTAGCGGGGCGTTGAGCGGGGAGGGCGCACAGAGGGGAAAAGCCCCAAATGGGTTTTCCTAGGTAAGAAAGCCATTTTGGTACCAAGATCATTGTGGTAATAAAACCATTTTAGGACAGTTTTCCTAGGTAAAACCCAGGGCTCCGCAGGCTCCGCACATTCGCAAGCGAGATCGAAGCCCCCTGAAGTGACCCCGACTCCCCGACCCCGATCCATGTTCTTCCTGGGTGAAACAGTGTGTCTCACGGCATCTGGTGAGAGACATGTGATGGCCTAGGTAAAACCAAGGACTCAAACCTGCGGTCGATCTCCCGGCGACTTCATTTAAGTTTGACTGATGGCATAGGATCTACAGGCCCGGTGCCCACAAATCCCGAAGAGTCGCCTTGCATGGTCGGAGCCTCGGTGAGCCTCAAAGAGTCGCTCAATGGGGATCGACGTTGCATTCCAGATCTTCAGGTCAGAAGATTTGCCGAAAGATCCAGCTACCTGGAGTCTCCATGACCCTTTAAAAATGGGTCAACGACCCCGTTATTTTAGGTAATGACCCCATTTTTTAAGGGTCATGGAGACTCCAGCTAGCTTCGTTTGCGGACATGGGGGTGCCGATTTCGCAGAGCTTGGCGACTTTTTTCGGGGTTTAGGGGAAGCCATCAGAAACGCCCAGGGTTTCCCGAAAGATCTTTCAAGGCATTTGCCATGAGCCATGGCTGTGGGTCAAAACCCATCGGATCCCATTTTGGGGTAGGTGCACCACCCATTTTAGTCTATAGTGGGGATTCGGACATTCACCGGGGGGTACGGGCATTTGACCCATGGCCACATGGACGCTTCGAGATTTTTTTTCGACCAAAGCCTCACAAGCCCTCGTAAGCCCTAGGTTGCAATATAGACCCTACCCTGGGAAAGCCATGGGCCGTCGTGTTCACGTGTTCTGACAAAGGGGTACCTCGCTCTCGAAAGGGCTTACCGAAAGCCGTTTTCCAAGGGGGAGTGTTTGATGATATGTGTCTTTCAGGGGACCTCCAAGATGGATTTGGGTTCTATTTTGGGGTTCCCTTTAGAACCACAAAAAAGGGGGGGCACCCTCAAAAAAAGACACGCCCACATACTTGCAAATGAGTACCTCGGGAAGCATCCATGGACCAAATCCACGTGGTTTATCCCACTGTTCCACTTGGTCCATCCGTACTTTTCTTGGATCAGGCTACCCAATTGGTGGATTGGTTTGGTAGGGGATTTGGACCCAATGTGAGACCATCAACCACAAACCACCAGGCTCCAAATAAGCAACTTGCGGGTGCGATAGGTAGGGAATGTGGCTGAGCGAGCGAGCCCAGGGGTCTAGGAGACCAAAAGATAGCTCATGGCTGGGGGCTGGGGGGGAGGGGAGGGGGGGGCCCAAATAAGCCCTAAAGAAGGTCATATTAAGGGCTTAATAAGGGCTTCTTTGGGCTCCCTCCCCCTCCCCTCCCTCCCCAGCCCCCATGAATAGCTTATAAGGGTCGTTCCCTTATTCCCTGCCTATCGCAGCAAAATGAGAGGGACGCTGACTGGAGCTTTCCTGGAAGCTTCGTAAGCCCCGAAAAACGTCCGCGGCATCGTGGTTGGCTGCAACTGATCGGTTCACCCGTGGTGTGGAGCGGTTTTTTTTCGGGATTGGGGATTTGAAGCCCTGGTTCTTGTGAGAGAGACATGGGAGGCCAACCTCCAAACTGGCGGCAAACCAAACCGCTGAAATCGAGGGAAGCTGAAAGTGAGAAGCAAGCCCTTGATTCCCTTGTTGGAAGACGAGATCATTTGCATTTGGCAATAATATTTTCTCACAGACTAAGAAGGAAGCTGAACTGAGCGCTTTGAATCAGCTCTAGGGCTTGATTCGAACTCCATCCGTTCTCCCTGGGTTTCCGGAAGTCTTCAACCGGATCCCCTAGAAACCATTATTTAATAATGAACCGCATTCACAATATTCTAATGCCATTGATACATATCCTTTACTAAAAAGATATACACCATAAAAAGCAACTAATCCAATACATGTTGAATCAAATAGTGCATTAAATTCATTTATTTGATTACGATGTCCTCTTTCATACTATATTAAATGTATTGATAAAACAGGTTTAAATATATGGGGTATTAATGACTATACTTTGTTGCTTCAATATTGCTAACGCATTAAGAAAGTTAGTATTGAGTCTGGATAATAATGACACAATGAAAGAAAATACAAGAATAATGGTAATAAACAGAATAAAAACAAACCAAACACATGATTAAAAATACCAATTATAACACCAATAGTTGATTTAACTTTAGCATATTATATATCATTTAGAAGCTTATACATTATTTTAAATTAGTATTTTTTGTATTTTAGTTTGATTTATTTGATTGTGATTTGTGATCAAATACATGTACTCCACCCCCTAAAGCAACACCGCACTCAAAGAAGCTGCGCCGCTTCAAGGTGGTTTCCCGCGCTTCGGGGAAGGAGGAAATTGGCGCTTCGTTGCTCGGAAAGGAGGGAGGTGAACAGACGGCTCCCCAGGCTTCCCTGTTTTTTTCATGGAAGCCACAGAAGGCGAAGCTTTGCAAGGAGTTTCCTCTAGACATGATGGCTTTTTGTTGGGGGAACATGAAAAAATCCATGTGAAACAGGGGAGGACAACATGTAAATGTGGGTGCTGACCACATGGTAATCCGCGAGTGTCTTGTTTTGAGGGTACCCCCATGTGGTTGGTTTGAAGGGAAAACCATGAATTTGGGGGGCCCGTAAAAAACACACCCAAAAGGAAACAACATGAGTTGGCAATCCTAGCACCGGGAGGCGGAACCTTGGCCACAATCAAAACCGGGGCAGTTGATTGTCTGTCCCAAAACGGACCATGGTGTTGGAAAGACTCCTGAAAAATGCCAGACAACTCCATTGCTCACCTTGTGATTCAAATTATCAGCTTTTGATTGCGAAAAGGCTGGTGTGTGATTCGTGGTATGTACTGTAGTAGGTAACCTGGGATTTCTTCTAGTCTTTCGAAGGATGGTGTTGTCTTGATGTGCTTCCTTACATTAACAGGTGTTGATGGTGGTGTGTTGTGTGGTGTTGATGTGCTTTTTATCCGGAACATCAATTCCCTGAAGGGACCTGTTCTCTGCAGTGCCGCGCGTGGATTTTGTAGCCCTCGTCAGCTGATTGTGGTGGGCCCTCTGTGGTTGGCACTCCAAGGGAAAACCGAAAAGGAAGCCGCACGCCATTTTTGGAAACCCGAATACTCGAAGAAACCAGCGACCAATGTATTTTTCTCCATCCACAGTATGGAAGTAAACGCCCCCGATCGCCTCTCTCAAGTATCTCTTGGGTGTCATTTTCTACCTCCAAACTTAGCGGGAAGTCAGGTAACTCGTTGGTTTGGAAAACACGAAAACTCTAAACCTTTGCCACCCGATGTGGGGGCTGCTGAACTCTCAGCCGTGATTTCACCTCCGGCCTATCCACCCGCTTTCCAACAACTATGGCAGGTACAGTGGATGGTTGCGAAGTCCATTTCGCACCACCCAAGAATCCCTGGTTTCTGATGCTTCCCCTGTAAATACCAACAAACAATGGTTTGCCCTGGTTTCCAAGTGGTGCATTGCGTCTATCGACAGTAGGATGGCTTTGCAAGAAAACCCGCCTCTTGAGCAGGCCAAGCCGTGGTACAGTTCCACGATTGGGAAGAACGTAGGCCGCGGCCACCAATGCGATTTGCAGGGATTTCTGGTCAACACACACTCAAAAAGTAGTTGATGGACATCATGAATTCCCCCACTTAAAGGATGTCCACCAAAGGGTCCCTTATTGAATTCATAGCCAAATGGTTGTTGGCCAAGACTGGCTCCAAATCGTCAGTGTTGATCAGGGTAATTACGCCTGCCGCGGCATTCACGTTGCTTCACGGTCTCTTTGGAAAGGCGAACCACCGGCTTGGAGCTGAGACTCAGGTTGCAAAGTTCAGCGACGTGGCCAGCGCTCTTCGCCGCGTGGCTATTGCTGCGTTCGCGGGCGTGACACGGGTGGCCCTGTTCTGGACATGTCCACTGAGGGTTGGGTTTGGGTGTTGTCTGGGTTTCAAGAAGTAAGAGAAGTAAGATTGGCCAACTCTGGCTAGTTGTGATACGCAACCACTTCACAGTGCTTGGTGGACGTGAATCATGACCAATTCTACAAGTGCGAAAGCAGTATGCAAAGTACGTTCCTGCAGCGCATACGCATGAGTCGTTCTTTGGAACATACGAAGGTGTTACGCGAAGCATGTTTGCGCAGTCTGCCGCGATATTGCAAGTAGCACGGAGTGGTTGTTTTCGCAGCTGTTACGCGAAAGCTGTTGTTCGGATCAATAAAGCCCAGTTTATAAATAGGGGCTGCCCCGCGCAGCACATCTCAACATGGCCTTTCTTCACAGCGCATCCCAGCATACTATAGCCCTTGCTGCACAGAAAGTCTGCGAGCGCCGCCTTGCTTTGCGAAGTTCTCTGCGCATGTCTGCTTTGCGCAGCTCTGCTGCTCACAGCCCTCAGCGCAGCCTTGCAGCGACTCCAGCTTTGTTTGGGGCATGAGTGGGATATGGGTATGGGTCAAAATTCAATCGCCAGGGGACCACATGTTTTAGTCATCGTTTCCATTTACCAGGGTGCCAGTTTGGGGTTACCCTATTTGTGACCCCCAGCCATATCTGTTAAACGTTGGCGGACGCACGATGTCAAAACATGTGGTTTGTCTCGGGCCTCGGCGACGCAGATGCGTGGCAGCACTTAGCGCAGACACGAAGGTCTTTCTCGGCTAGGCTCTGAGCAAGGGTTTGAGCCCAAATATGGGTGCGCCTGGAACCCCTCCTAGCGGCTGGCTTCTTTTTTTGAGTTGACCAGTGAACCCCGAACAGCAAGGCTACCGTGGAAGAATTTGCAGAGTGGGCCTGAAGTTCTGGACCAGAAATCCTCCCCCCGAACTGCACGACGGTCGCAGCACACTCCGAAGCGGGCCCCGGCCATTGTTCCGCAAGCTTTGCCTCTTTGCCGCCCGTCCGAAACGCACTCACGTGATAGGGCGGCGCGTGCTTTGAAGAATGCGCACGTTTCAAATGCAGGGTTGTCCTTCTTGAGCTCTCAAGAAAAACTCTCTCCGCCTCGCTGGAAAGCGCTCGGTTGCTTTCTCCACCAACAAGCCCCTCAGAGCAAAACCTCAAGTGCAAGGTGTGGGAAGCCAGGCGCGCTTTCTTGGCACTTCCAAATTCGCAAGACCAAGCTCAGACCCAAGGCGACGCACGAACGAGCCATGGTCACTGGGGTAAGAGCGATAGGCTCATCCGATGAGCTGCTGGCGGAGTTTTTGCAAATGTCACGATTGCTTGCCTTTCACTCCTCTTTGACCATCCAAGACCACCGAAAGTGTTCCTCGAAAAGAAAGTGGTGTTAAAGGCCGCGTGGCCAATGACTGCTCATTTGCCTAAAAGGCAATGGGAGCTGGGCAACGCGTTATTTTGCTTCGGTTGTTTAAAAAAACCAAAATACCAAAAAGGTTTCCCGCGAGTCAAAAACAACTAGAACCATGAGCAGAAAACAAAAACGAGCACCAGAGGTCGGATGTCACTTAACTTAAAACTGTACAAAGCCTAAAAACCTCAAACCTGCCGGGAGGGGCTTGAGCAGACGCAGGGTCTGCTCGGCTCCAAAACGGCCTCGGCTTCCGCCTTCGCTGGGAGGTGTCCTCAGCTGTGGCGAACCGCGTGTCCAACCGCGTGCTGCTGGCGCCGATGATGCGCCACACCTACTGCCACCTGCCGAAACGGGTTGTTTTTGTTTGTTAGTTTTTGTTCTGGTGTGTGGGGGGGGAGGGTCTGTGTTTTTTCCTGGGGTGTTTTTGTTCTACTCCAAATCGAGGTGGGGGTCTCTTCTAAATCTCAGCTTCCCTTCAATTGGTGGTTAGTGATTCGGGGGAAGCTTCCCATTTACAACAACCAGGGAATCAAATCCCCAAACCACCAATCCACACCAAATTGAAGGGACGCTGAAATTCGAATTGGGGAAAGGGCAAGTGCTGGACTAAGTCCTCCCTGGCTGGTTTTCTGGAGGCGACATATGCAACATCGGACAATTTGATGTGCAAAGACTGCAATCAACTACAATGTGAATTGTGTTGCAGATTCGCCAGGAAAGTCCTGGAAGGCTAGAATTGGCTGAGCGTTGCCTAGTTCTAATTTGGTAGTACGGATATTTTGGGCTTGGAAAAATGACATGTATTAATAGCATACACTATTAATAGGGGAAATCAGAGTAAGCCTTCCTTATGCGAACCTACCGTTTTTTGCCTTGGCAACATCCGTGACTTCTTCTTGTACATGCAAACGGCTACCAACAGAAGCGCGAATGGCCCGGTCCCGCAGATACGCGGTAGATGTTCATTAAAAGAATCTCGCAACCAAAAAAGGCTGCCCAAATGGACCAACCAAAAAGTTATTAACGAAGGCAATGTCAACCAAAAGGTGATCGTCAAACACCCTTTATTGGGGGTTCCTCCAAAACTAAATGTTATAAATTTTAGGGTAGACTAACATATGGGACATACTCATCGAACGGTTCTGGTGCACGTCCTATCTTAGCTTGAAATGGCAGCAAGTGGTTTGTTCTTTGGTTTGCCACCTACCTCTCAACCTTTTGAAAAAACCATTGTTTTTCTACGAGCTGAAAGCCAAGCTTACTCCAAAATGAGGGGGGTTTCTTCAAATCGGGGTGGGTCCCCCCCTTCCAAGAAGCAAAAACACACACACACACACACACACACCCCTGTGTGTTTTTGACTGTGCCCTCTTTGGGTTGGTTTAAAGGCACAAAAGGAAAACCGTGGGGGTTCGACAAACCCGAGTGGACCTTAGCCGAGTCTTGGCGCTGTGTACCACGGTGGTGCAGCTGGCGGTCTACGGCGCCTGGCTGCGGCGCCGGATCCGGCGAGGATGGGCTTCGGCAAGGGGTAGGGGGCGGGGGATGGGCGGGCGGCGGGGGGGGCTGAGTTTGGCCGAAAGATATGCCTGTGATCGTCAAAACCGGGTAATTAAGCCCAAAATGGGTTGTTTTGGCAACTGGAAACAGCGACTAAAACGTGCAGTCCCTTGACGGTTTAATTTTGACCCGTACCCTCATTTTTTACGGGGTATGGTGAAAGTCTAAGAGGCTGTGGCTGTGTTGCTTCAACTTCTGTGAAACTCTTTTTTCGAATGGACCGCCAGGAAGGCGTACTGCAGAAAAAACTGGCTGCCGGTACGGAAGGCCGATGTGTTGGCTGGCCATTTGGATTTCAGAACCCGCAACGCGCCCGGATTTGTGTGCTGGGGTCACCTTGGAAAGCAGTCGTGGGGTGTTGTATGTTTTCCAAATGGTAGCACAGAAAGGGTTATCTTCATTGTTGTTGGCATGTCTTTTGATGCTTTTTGGTTCATTGTTTGTTGTTCACAGTTTTTGGCTATCATACCAACACCGATAACCTCACCAGGCCATCAATTGGGCAATGATCCTGAGCTATGCCAATCCAGTTGTGTTTCGATGCCATGTTGCTTCGAATCGCGGAGGGAATGCCTCTGAAGAAACCGGGCAATGTTGACCTATTCATCAACCCCTGTTTTCGAGTATGGGGGTGCTCTCCAATAGTGGTCTGATTCTCCACAAAACCCAGGGCGCCCGCCATAGGAAAACAGGAAAAGAGATCAAGATGAATCTCGGCCCCAAGTTGGTTCCAACTCTCCATCCTGCTAGATGTGTGGTACCCGTTCCATTGGTTTTCCTACATGGTAGGTTTGGCAACAGCGAACGATCAGTCAAAGAAAGTTCTCATTGCTCCTGATCGTTGAAAGCAAGATTCCTGGCCCTTTGCCCCGCCCAGTTGAGTTCTCAGAATCAAATTCCGGACCCCTCAAAATGATGGTTTACCCGGTTTCCATTTCAACTCACTGCAAAAAGGGCACCCCCCCGCAAAGAGAAGGAGCCACACCTCTGAGTCGAGCTAGAGGTAGCATCCCATGATCCGAGTGGCCGGAAGAACGGCTCCAAGAAACGGCCCAAGGAAAATCCAGGTGATTCAAAAACGGCTCATGAGAAATCCGAAGATTCAACAACGGCTCATGAAGAACAGCTCCAAAAACGGGTCCAGTGATTCTTTTGCCTGAACTTGGGACCTGAGAGGTTGCCGGGACTCCACCGACATTGGCCAATCAACCTTAGCCATGATTGGCGAATATTAATATTTGTTTTGGCAAATCAGGGCTTCCCACCAATACTACCTGGCACCCCGTATGGCTGTTTTTCTTTTCCTTTTTCTTTTTTCTTCGGTCAAACTCCCGTATTTGGCCGTATTTGCCCGTATGGCCATGATGTGTCGGTCATTTGCGTAAATCACCCGTATGAAACCCATGTTTTTCGACATGTTGTTGAACAAACATATGTAAAAATCCGTAATTATGGCCATGTTTTCGGTCAAATGTGTATGACCTAAAAACAGCCATATACATATATATATATATATATATATATATATATATGGGGTCCCAGGTAAGCATTATGGGCAGAGTTTTGACCCCAAGACCCCCCCCACCTTCCCCACCCGCCAACCCGCGGGAACCGCTCCTCGCGTCGCGGCAGGCCTGGTGACGGAGCCCATGTGGTCCTTCGCCAAGGCCAAGCCGCTGCTCCTGGCGACCTTCGGCTTGTGACCCTTGGCGCCCGAAGCGCAACTCGTTTCGGGGTGCTGAAAGCCCGGGAAAATGGGAGAAAAGAGCTGGAAGGGGTTGACAAAACGATGTTCTAAGATGTCCCTGGCCTTTGGTTCTCAAATCCTTTCCCCTTTTAAAACCCAGTTGTTTCTTGCTTGGTGCTTTTTGGACATGATCCTTTTGGCCAAGACATGATCTTGCAGCCAAGAAAACAAGGAAGCCGTGCTTCAGCAATCAGAAAACCCGGCTTGTGGTTTGAAAGGGAAGCTGAGACAGCAAACTTTGACAGGCCCGGGCCGACTAGCAACTGCTTTTTGGACGGATGGGAAAAGGCAGGCAGTTCCCAAGCAACCCCATCCTAAACCCCAAAAGGTCGCCGTCAAATTCTCCCCCTTTTTTCTGAGCTTAATTCTCGCTTCTTCTGCTTGAGGGAAGCCAAATGTACGTGAAACCACACACATTTAGGGGTCCCCTCCCAAAATCCAGAGCACTCCCTTAACTTCAACGGCTCGGCGATTCTCCCCCATTCGGCTTTCCCTCCCCGTCAGCGACTCTCCCCCCTTTGCCGGCCTGGAAAAAGATGAGCGAGGCGAAGGCGCCTTCTTCCCGCTGGTCTTCTACAGCGCGGCGCGCTTGCCGGGCAGCTTGGTGCAGGTCCTGAACCAGACGCTGATCCCCTTCACCGCACCACGGACGGATTGCAGGGAGTGGAGTGGAAGAAGGGTTGGAGATGCGGTTGCAGCTTTTGAGGTTGGTTCTCCGCTATGTTTTGTCGGAAGGGTTTCGGTAGCTTGGATTTTGCAGTTGTTTAAGGTTGGTGTTCCGCAATTCGTGTTGTTGGACCGGTTTTGGGGTGTTTTGGTTGGTGGCAGTTTTGAGGTGTTGTTTTTCTCTGGGCTGGCACGGAGTGGACGTCGGTTCGAAGAGACATTTGTCGGGGGGGGGGGGGGGGGCTGGGGGGTGTTCAGGGGTTTTCGTCTTGCACGTTTTGTTGGAGCGGTTTTTGGAAGGGCTTTTTTTGCTGGTACCCAGAGGCTCCTGGCTTTGGCTTTCAATGGAAGACCCGACCCCTCCATTAGACACCCCGGCGGCGTTTGGGGGTCTCAAAACCCGGCTGTTTGAGGGCCCTAAATTGATTGGGAGCCTCTGGGTACGAATAAACCGTTTCTTCTGGAAGGGGTTTTCATACCATGTATTTGTTGGAAGGGCGTTTTTCTGGTATGTTGTTTATGGTTGCTTTTGGAATGCTCAAACATCAGACATGCACCGAATGGATCGAATGGATCGAGAAGGCATGACACCACCGGATTCGGGGGGATGTCATGATTTTTTGAGGCTCGGGGTTTCGTTTTGTTTTGTTTGTCCCTTTTCTCTTTTTTGTAAACCTTGGAAGGGAAACCAAAGGAAGACCAGGCTCCATTTTGGGGGTCCCCCAGTTTGACGGAATTTTTAGAAGGGACCCAAGGTTGGGACATGTGACCCAACACTCGTAGCTCACTTCCCCAGGTGGACTTGAAACCCGGGAAGATCGTTTTGGTAAACAAGAGGCTTAAAGTCCATCCCAAAAAAGGTTTAAAGGCCAGCAAAGCGGACCGTTTTAGTGGTCCTTTGCCAAAGTGGACCGTTTTAGTGGATTTTTTTATTTTGGGCCCCACTCGGGAGCAAAAGCAAAGTGGACTTCCCCTTGCCACGCTGGCCACCGGGTTGGCTTCCATGGCCTCTCGATCGGATCCGGCCGGATTTCGAGAAGGAAAACGCCAACAGGTTGGAAGCAAATCCGGTTTTGGGAAAGCACATGGTTGGAATCAACCCCATCCGCAGGCCCGGAAAGATCAGGGTTGAAGACTTCTCGAACTGATAGACGCTGCTACTTCAAAAAACCCGTGGTTTCAGCACCCAGATGAAGGTTGCGAGGGACACCTGCAATAACTCGGCCCGGCAAGTTCTCTTAATCTTCTTGTTGTTGCTCGATGTGTTCCCGACTAAACATGGTATCAACCCGAAAAGACATGGTTCCAACTGAAAGTGGAATCAACTCAAAACGACCAAGTAAAACCCCCAGCAACGAGCTTGCCCCCCACAAAGCCCCGTATATATTTGTTGTTCGCTTTCCCGAAATGGATTCCTTTCGGTTGGACCCCCCTCTTGCGGGTGGCAACGGTTCCTGAACGGCAGCTTGGTGGCCCTCGGCGCAGGTGGCTCTAAGCTTCGGCTTCTTGGGGAAGCGCTATGACCTCACGCAGATGAGCGGCGTGGCGGTGCCCCGGCGGGATGTCGGCGCCTGGCCCAAGCGCGGGCCACGGGTTTCTTCGGCCTTCGGAGCGAGTGTGGTCCGAGGAATATCTAAGACCAGAAAGAAGGTCCAACCGTCGCGCTAGGAATGTGAACGGGTGGAAGGGACGGATCAATCCCAAGCTATAAATGATGGCCACAATGAGATTCACAGACAGCAGTTTAGCTGGAGGCCCTTTTTTCGAATCTCAACAAGAGTGGGGGGCTGGTAAAGCTGGGTCCTTGAAATGTGTCCATTTTCAGGTCTCAACAATTACCTTTGGCAGGTTCCAGGGCACATATGAGCCAAATTTCAACCATAAACAAATTGAAAGTGTTTTTTTTGGGGGGTGAATCTCAGGTTAGCTCCAGAAATCCGTTGAAGCACCCGAAAGCCTTGGGGCAAAGAATCTCGGTTCTCTTTCCCCGCGCCCCGTGCGCCGAGATCGTGCTGGCCGGGGTGCTGGTGGTCTCTTCCTTGCCCTCGAAAGCGCCGAGCGCGCTGGCCTTTGTGCTGCTGTGCGTGGCTGCCTATGGGCCCTTCGCCCGAACTCCGAAAGCGTGAGGGATCCCATGGGGAACCTGACAGAAAAAAACCATCCCCTTAAAAGCAACATGATGGCCAAACCTCCAAACAACCCCCCGAAACGACAGGCCCTTGGCTTAAGAATTCCAAGCTGAGATTGCCCAACACAACCCCCAGACCCAGACCTTTGAGTCGAGGGCCCTGAAGGTTTGGCCGAAGCGCCCGGAGAGGGTTAAGGTCTCTCGGGCTCAGATAAGTAAGGTGATGAATCATGAAGCACCCAAGTTTGAAGTAAGTTATGAAGGTGACTTAGTTCTCAAGTAAGGTGACAAAGTAAGTATGAGGTAAGCTGAAGCCTTCTTCTTGTACCCAAGTTATGAGCCGTCAAACTGTAGCTTCAGTTCAGGGGCCGCATGGTGCTCAAAGAGTTGTCATCAGTCCCCCCATTCACCTCCAAAAGTGGCGATCGTTTCAATGGAACCCGCCAGCAAAGTGCAATGGAAGGGGAAATCCAGGGACCCAAGTGGCTGTGGTTGTCAAAACCGTTTTGGCATCCCATTTTGGGGTGGGTGCACCACTAATTTTGGTCTATTTTAGTGGGGATTGGGATGTTGACTGGGGGCACGGGTCGTGCCAATCCATAGCAATAGCTACATCGCCATCGGGCAAGGTCGGATTTGTCTATGGCATCCACCCGCAACCCACAACCCCCACGCGAAAACGGGTGCAAAGCCCTTCAGTGTTGACCCCGGCTGAAAATAACCCGTCCTATTTTCAGGGGGGTGTTCTCCTCCAAAAGCGGACTGAATCTCCACTAAATCCCAGCCACACCCCTTCTCATAAACTGCTGTTGATTAATCTGGGGTTTGCATTACGTAGGGTGGATAACAGTCCAGGGAAACCCTTTTGGTTTAAAAGGGAAGCCAAGAGGAGCAACATGCCAAGTAACCGCAACCACTGCCAAGGGTCCTCCCATGAAACCCCTTGCCCGAGGCTGCAGGCTGCAGCCGCTTGGGCGGCAAACTGAGCGAAGGTGCTGCCCCCCCCCCCCTCCCCATTCAGCGTGCAATCATGGTGGTTTTCGCATCTGACAGGAAGCCAATTGTGATAATGCTGACTCCGGATCAATAAACCTCTCTTGATTCATAGGGGGATGATTTTCTTTGGGCTTAGTGGGGAATCAGACACTTTTGGAGGGGAACGGCCCCCCTATTCATAAAAACACTGGGTTTTTTCATGATTCATGTGGCCTGGTTGCATAAAAATTCTGGTTGTCCCAGCCCCCGGGTCCCACTGGCAACTGCTTTTTGGTTGCCTTACCAAGGGGGATTTTGGACATTTGGGTATGGCTCAAAAAACTGGTACCAAAATGGAACCCTGGCCTGCGTAGCCCCAGCTCTTTGAATTTGAGCCACTGCCATTTGGCTCATGTAGGCAAGTTGGGGGTGCTGGTAAGGATGAAACCAAGGACCTTAGCCACGTAGAACCAGACGTCATTTTTCTTGGTGCCCTCAGTTCTCAGTAGGGCATACCCCGACTGAAAGTTTCACTTGCAAGGAATCAAGCAACCACTTCCCTAACAAAATGTGACCTGGAAGTGTTTAGAGACCTTTCTTCATTCATGCAGCATGAGGAGGGAGTCAAAGACCCGGGTGTTTTTCCCAAAATAGCACCTCAGCGTTTCCAGAAGAACAGGGCTGTCTCTTGATTTCCCTTTACAGCCCAAACAAGGAGCGGACTTCTATGGGGTAGATTTCCTGTTCTTTCGCAAATGGACCAAAAGTGTTCAACCAACATCTTCCAGGTCCCCCAGTAGTGCCCTTTCTCCCTTTCTCACCGCCTACTCAAATAGACGAAACAGAAAAAAATGGGGCACCAACTTATTCTAAGCTGTCTACTGGAGGACCTAGTCTTGGCGCTCGCAACGAGCGACCTGAAACTCCCAGGCCATGGTGGTGAAAGAGACCGTGTTCTCCCAGTACAAGCGGAGTGAAGGCGTACCTCTATAAGAGAAATTTGGCGGGCAGGCGAAATTGGTCCAGAACTCACTCCCGGAATTCCCAGACTTTAGTTGTTTTTTGGGGAAGACCGCTTTGGTGGTGTTGCTGTAGGACTTGTTTTTTGGCCCATCCACTCAGGAAGTGAGTTAGACAAAGAGACCTACTCCTTAAAAGGGGAGCCAAAAGGAGATCGTGTAGAGTGGGCTGTTTTTTGCACTTAAGATTTTGGCCCAAATCCATTCTGGCAGTATTTGTATCAAGGTCACGTAGTGAATCGCAAACGACGATGCTGGTAGCACCGAAGATACGCAGCTACCTCTCGCAGAGGCTTGCAGTACTATAGTTTTCCCACCGCCCCACCCCACCCCACCCCACCCCACCCCACCCCACCCCACCCCACCCCACCCCACCCCACCCCACCCCACCCCACCCCACCCCACCCCACCCCACCCCACCCCACCCCACCCCACCCCCCCACCCCACCCCACCCCACCCCACCCCACCCCACCCCACCCCACCCCCCCACCCCACCCCACCCCACCCCACCCCACCCCACCACCCACCCACTAAAGGCACCAGATCAGGTCTGGTTGTCCATGTTTTGCCACCAACCCTCTCTCCCAATGCAGCCCAGCTGGCGGTGTCTGGGTATGCTTGTTTTACTTCTAGGTCCACCAGTGGTGCCCTTTTACCGTTTCTTTTTTGGTTCCCTACTAAAATAGACCAAAAAGAAGATAACAAATCGGGTACCAACTTCTTCTAACCTCTCTACTGGAGGACCTAGACTTGATTGCCGTGATTTACACATGTTTTTCTCGTGTGTCAGTTTACTTGAGATATGTCAAAGGCATTCACCGCAGCCCCAAAAGGCACCTCCCCGAAGTGAAGAAAGCGGCACGAGGGGCATGAAGCCAAAAGTGAAGGTTGGGGAGCGAGACGGGCGCAATTGTTCAGCGGGCCCTGTGGACATCATTTGCTGGGCATTAGATGTGGTTCCAAATGGCATTCAGATGGTTCATCATTTGGTGGGCATTTAGATGGTGGAAATCATTTTGGTCTGATTCTTAAAATTAGATGAAGTTCCAAACTTTAGAGCCTCCGGCTCAGTCCGCCGACATTGTCCTCTCCCTTTTCTCCTTCTTCCTCTCTCCCTTGTCTCCCTGGTGTGTTCTGTCGTCCTCTCTCCCTCCCTCCGCTCCCCATCCTCCCCATCCCCCCTGTATGTATGTCTGTATGTCTGTATGTCTGTCTGTATGTATGTCTGTATGTATGTATGTATGTATCCTTGCACTTCCCCTTGGCTCCCCAGTATTTCCCGCAAAAAACACTGTTTTTCCAGCGTTTTCGCAAAGAAGATGTCCAAAAACACAGAGTTTTTCCAGATTTTCGGCAAAAGGATGCAGGAAGCCCAAGCCAGCAAAAAAGCCGGCAGGGGGAATCGAGCCTGCGACACCGGGTCCCCGAAGACTACGTTTAGTGGAACGTCATCAAATTGCCGCGCGGTCCTTGGGGGGGGGGGGCCCCCCCGTGCCTTGGACGCTTGGCGACCATTCGGCGAATGCCGTGTTTTGCTTGGGGCCCCAGCGGATCTGATGGCTGGGACGCATGAGACGAATCGGACCGCCTGACAGATCGGACGCATCGAACGGATCGGACCGCTGGGGCTGTGATCGGACAGATCGGATAGACCTCACGAAGCCCCACAGATCGGACGGATCGGACGGATCGGACGAATCGGATTGATCGGACGATCGGACTGGGCTGCCTGCTTGTGCCCAGGTCGGACTGATCGGACGGATCGGACTGATCACACGGATCGGACTGATCGGACTGCTCAGGCTCAGACGGAGTCGCACAGATCAGACGGATCGCGCCTTTTGGACTGAGCAAACTGATCGACAAGGTCTAAGTCGGACAGATCGGACGGATCGGACCGATCGGACTGGGCAGACCGATCGGACAGGGACGTAATCAGACAAGTAGAACGGATGGCTCACGCGCAGCCAAACGGATCGCAGGAGACTCGGGCGGATTGATCGGGCCGGCTGGTTATGGGCTGCACAGATTGCACGGAGCGAAGCGGTGGGCGGGGGTGCTGATCGGACGGACTGAATGGATCGCACGGATCGGACGCGTCTCGGATGGAGCGGACACGCAGGGCTCGGAGGGCTCGCGTTGATCTAAGATAGAACTGACCGCGGACGGATTGGGCGGCGCGCAGTTTCCGGGAGGCGGCTCAAGCGCAGGCAGAGTACGACTTTCTATCTGTCACGTGGCGCTGCCGTCCGCAGCGGGGGGTGTTGGTGATGTTCGTCTCCCTGCCAGTCATTTTATGGTCAGGTATCTTGCTGGTGGCAGCCAGCGATGCCGGTACCACGGATGCTGGTGATGCTGGATGTGGGGTGGGGGTGGCTCATTTACGGCGGATTATCGGCCAGCGGCAGACTTAAATGAGCCACTCTTGGCTGGCACGGACGGATCAGATCGGCTGGATTGGACTGATCGACAGCAGCCAACCGCATCGGATGGTGAGCGAAGTGGGGTAAGCAGCGATGCCAGTAATGCTAGGGATGCGGGTGATGTTGACCGTGGGGTGGGGGCGGCTCATTTACCGCGGATTTTTTGCTCAGCGGCAGATAAACGAGCCACCCTTGCTCAGCACGGACAGATCAGCCTGACTGGAGCACATCAGAGCAAGGGTCGTTGGAGTTAATGTGTTCCGCGGCACGCAATGGGAGCCTTTAGACGCGAGCCGCTTGTCGAAATCTTCGCGCCGTCCAATCCGTGCAGCCCGCCACCAGTCAGTCCGATCGATCCGCTCGCCTGGCCGTGCACGAGCCATTTGAGTTGGCACATTTCTGTCTATTTGTTGACTGCCGTCCCTGCAGCGGATTTGTCGGATGGAAATGAACGTTTGTGCAGATCGGGCTGCTCGGGCGCAGATCGGACGGATCGGACTGATCGGACCGATCGGACTGATCGGACTGCTGGGACGGAGTCGACAGATCAGACGGAGCGGACTGATCGGACAGATCGGCCTGATCGGACTGCTCGGACGGAGTCGACAGATTGAGTAGACCGGACGGACGGGAGCAGATCGATCGGATCGCACGGCTCGGACGGATCGGACCGATCGGACTGAGCAGACTGATCGGACAGATCGCACAGGGGCGGAGTCGGACAGATCGGATCGGACGCATCGGACTGAGCAGACCGATCGGACAGGGACGTAATCGGACAAGTAGAACGGATGGCTCACGCACCAGCCAGACGGATCGCAGGAGACTCGGGCGGATTGATCGGGCCGGCTGGTTATGGGCTGCACAGATTGTTAGTTTTCTTAAGGCCTCCCGGCTAAGCCAGTTTGGTCAGCAGACTGCCTGTAGTAGGCCTGTAGGGCTTGAGATGATTGCGCGCCGTTGTCTGTTGGCAATTTCTCGTCATTTTTGTGATCTCTCATACTCTGAGACTTTGAAACTCTGCGTTCTAAGCTAATTTGCTTCAGGTCTGATTCTCTGATCTGGCTGCCAGTAGTAGTAGTAGTGCCGCGGTGCTGCCTGGTCTTGTGACGTGGTGGGCAAGAGGCGAAAGTCAGCAAGTTGATTTGGCAATTGCTTGGGCTGTGTTTTTTGAGGAACATGTGAGCTGTGCTCCTTGTGGGCTTGTGGCCTTGTGGTAGTTGTCACTGGCGCAGCCTGGTCTCAGTTCTCAGGCAGTCAGGCAAGAGGCAAGCGCCGCCCACAGTGCTTGGGTGTGTGAGGCAGGCCCGCTGACCCGCTGACAAACAGTTGAGGCACATGTGAGTCATGTCAGCCTGGTAAGTTTGTGGCTGTGGTCTGTGGTCCGTGGTGGTGTTACTGGCGTTGCCTGACTGATCTGGTCCGGTCTTAGCAAGTCAGGTGAGTTGCACTGTGATTGGTTTGCCAATGAGGGCACAGGCAAGGAACCAGCGAGTCTGAGTTTGGTGACACACTGTTAGCTCACAGGACCACTGGATTGATCACTGGGTTACACAAGAGAAGAAAAACAAAAGGCGTGGTTTGGTTTTCAGTGATCACTCTGAATTGACTGAGTTGTGTGTGTCGCGTTTTGTGTGGCCACATGTTTTGCACTTCAAGGGTGCCCACGGATGGTTTTAATCAGTTTTAGTGTTTCCTTTCACAGATCTGTGGGGTCTGCGGCTGCAGGTGCCTTGTGTGCTGCATTCTTGCGGCGGGCGTTTCCATTTGAGTTGCCAATTGAATGTTGGCGCAAGGAAACTTCAACTTCAACCCCTACTGTACTAATGGGCTGTGTTCTTTCAACATTGTTTATTCAGGGGTTGCTGTGGCTGGCTGTGTGGCTCAATTCTGTGAGCGCTGTGCGCACACGTTGCTTAATGTTTTTCTTGGCAGGGTACCGCAATGGAAGCAGGCGCCACAGGTCTGCCAATCAAACACGGGAGCCAATATTTCTTCCATCGCCTGTGTGGTTCAAACATCGCCTTGACGAAGTTGTTGCCAGCTCTGGTTTGGATGCCAGCAGCCTTGAGTTGAGCAAGAGCGCAGCCCGTGAAGCTTTGTTTGTTAGCACGTGCAAAATTGAGGCTGTGGTGCTAGCGCAGCCAGGCAAAATTTGTGTTGGGCAGTCCACTGACTGGGACGCAGAAGAAGACTTGCAGTGGAACTATTTCGGCCGCCCAAGGGCATGCGTCAGTGTGAAGGTGAAGGAAGTCGTTTCTTTAAAATTCCCATCGGAAGTGTCATCAGCGAGAGGCGTCTCAGGCAACGTGAAGTTGCAGCACCTGCTCTTCCAGGGGAACGTGCCGCCAGCTGATGAGGCTGCGATCGTTGTTCGCAGGCCGGGCCAGGCAGAAGTGAGCCTCAGGCAGGTGCTCTGCGAATGGGGCATGGAACATGTTGACCTTGCAGATGTGCCCATCTTGTGGGTGGCCTATCCGATCACCCGCATGGTGGAGCACCAGCAGTGGTCATCACTTCTTATTTCATTCCAGCA